GGGCGGAGCTTCAAGGGGCTGGGCTCCCCGTGGGTGGGGTGGTCTGGTGGGCGGAGCTCCCTGTGGGCAGGGCTGGTGGGTGGGCGGAGCTCCCCGTGGGCGGGGCCAGCAGGTGGGCGGGGTCACCAGGTGGGCGGGGCCTCACTCTGCCCCCCCCCCCGCAGGTGGTGGTGGCCACCAACATCGCGGAGACGTCGGTGACCATCGACGGCATCGTCTACGTGCTGGACCCCGGCTTCTGCAAGCAGAAGAGCTACAACGCGCGCACCGGCATGGAGGCGCTCGTGGTGACGCCCTGCTCCAAGGTGGGACACCCCCCGTGTCACCCATGTCACCCCCGTGTCACCCGTGTCACCCCCATGTCACCCGGTGTCACCCGGTGTCACCCCGGGTTCTGCGAGCACGAGAGCTACAGCGCGCGCACCGGCATGGAGGCGCTCGTGGTGACACCTTGTTCCAAGGTGGGACACCCCCCGTGTCACCCATGTCACCCCCATGTCACCTGTGTCACCCCCGTGTCACCCCCGTGTCACTCCCACGTCACCCCTGTGTCACCCGGTGTCACCCCGGGTTCTGCGAGCACGAGAGCTACAACGCGCGCACCGGCATGGAGGCGCTCGTGGTGACACCTTGTTCCAAGGTGGGACACCCTTGTGTCACCCGCGTCACCCCCATGTCACCTGTGTCACCCCATGTCACCCGCGTCACCCCCACGTCACCCCTGTGTCACCCGGTGTCACCCCGGGTTCTGCGAGCACGAGACCTACAGCGCGCGCACCGGCGTGGAGGCGCTCGTGGTGACGCCCTGCTCCAAGGTGGACACCGGTGGCACCCCTCGTGTCACCCGGTGCCACCCCTCGTGTCACCTGCGTCACCCGGTGCTGCCCCTCGGGTCACTGTGTGTAACTCGTGTCCCCCCGTGTCCCCAGGCGTGGGCCAACCAGCAAGCGGGGCGCGCGGGCCGCGTGGCGCCCGTGTCCCCCCATGTTCCCCAGTGTCTCCGTGTGTCACCTGTGTCCCCATGTCCCCCCATGTCCCCCTGTCCTCATGTGTCACCTGTGTCCCTATGTTCCCCAGTGTCCCCATGTGTCACCCAGGTCCCCATGTTCCCCAATGTCCCCATGTTCCCAATGTCCCCATGTCCCCAATGTCCCCATATTCCCAATTTCCTCATGTCCCACCCATGTCCCCAATGTCCCCATGTCCCCAATGTCCCCATGTGTCACCCATGTTCCCAATGTCCCCATGTCCCCATGTCCCCAATGTCCCCGTGTGTCACCCAGGTCCCCATGTTCCCCAATGTCCCCATGTCCCCATGTCCCTATGTGTCCCCATGTCTCCAATGTCCCCATGTGTCACCCGTGTCCCCAATGTCCCCATATTCCCAATTTCCTCATGTCCCACCCATGTCCCCAATGTCCCCATGTCCCCATTGTCCCCATGTGTCACCCACGTCTCCATGTTTCCCCATGTCCCAAATGTCCCCATGTCACCCATGTCCCCATGTCCCACCCGTGTCCCCAATGTCCCCATGCTCCCCCATGTCCCCATGTCCCCATGTCCCCCAATGTCCCCATGTCCCCAATGTCCCCATGTGTCACCCATGTCCCCAATGTCCCCATGTCCCACCCGTGTCCCCAATGTCCCCATGTGTCTCCCATGTCTCCATGTTCCCCCGTGTCCCCAATGTCCCCATGTCCCCATGTCCCACCCGTGTCCCCATGTCCCCATGTGTCACCAATGTCCCCAATGTCCCCATGTCCCCATGTGTCCCCATGTGTCACCCATGTCCCCAATGTCCCCAGTGTCCCCATGTCCCACCCGTGTCCCCTGTCCCCCCAGGCGTCGGCCAACCAGCGCGCGGGGCGCGCGGGCCGCGTGGCGCCCGGCAAGTGCTTCCGCCTCTACACGGCCTGGGCCTTCCAGCACGAGCTGGAGGAGGAGACGGTGCCCGAGATCCAGCGCGCCAACCTGGGCGCCCTGGTGCTGCTCTTGAAGAGCCTGGGTGAGCGGGGACACTGGGGACATCATGGGGACATCATGGGGACATTGGGACACAATGGGGACATTGAGGACATTGGGACACAGTGGGACATTGAGGACATTGGGACACAGTGGGACATGGGCCAACCTGGGCGCCCTGGTGCTGCTCTTGAAGAGCCTGGGTGAGCGGGGACACTGGGGACATCGTGGGGACATCATGGGGACATTGGGACACAATGGGGACATTGAGGACATTGGGACACAGTGGGGACATTGAGGACATTGGGGACATCATGAGGACATGGGCCAACCTGGGCGCCCTGGTGCTGCTCTTGAAGAGCCTGGGTGAGCGGGGACGCTGGGGACATCATGGGGATGTTGGGGACATCATGTGGACATTGGGGACATGGGGACATTGGGGACATCATGGAGACATTGGGGACATGGGGACACAATGGGGACATTGAGGACATTGGGACACAGTGGGACATGGGCCAACCTGGGCGCCCTGGTGCTGCTCTTGAAGAGCTTGGGTGAGCAACGTGGGGACATGGGGACATCATCGGGACATTGGGGACATTGGGGACATTGGGACACAATGGGGACATGGGGACACAGTGGGACATAGGCCAACCTGGGGGCGCTGGTGCTGCTATTGAAGACCCTGGGTGAGCAACGTGGGGACACTGAGGACATTGGGACATCACGGGGACATTGGGGACATCATAGGGACATCATGGACACATTGGGGACATGGGGACATTGGGGACATCATGGGGACATGGGCCAACCTGGGCGCCCTGGTCCTGCTATTGAAGAGCTGGGATATGTGGGGACGTGGGGACATCATGGGGACATCGTGGGGACATGGGGACATCACGGGGACATCATGGGGACACGGGCCGACCTGAGCGCCCTGCTCCTGCTGCCCAAGAGCCCGGGTGACGTGGGGACATCCTGGGGCCATTAGGGACACCGTGGGGACGTGGGGGACACCATAGGGATACGGGTGGACATGGGGCAGGGGACACTGGGGCATCTCAGGGACCTCCTGGGGAGGCCGTGGGGCCGTCGGTGGTGCCGGCGCTGGTGCCGGTGACGTTGGGGGTGGTGACACTGCGGGTGCGGGTGACCCCGGGGGTGGTGACGCCGCCGGTGACGGTGGCTTTGGGGTGTCCCCGCAGGCATCAACGACCTCGTGCACTTCGACTTCCTGGACCCGCCGCCCCACGAGACGCTGGTGCTGGCGCTGGAGCAGCTCTACGCGCTGGGCGCCCTCAACCACCTGGGCGAGCTCACCACGGTGCGGGGACACGGCGGGACACGGGGACACGGGGACACGGGGACACGGGGACATGGGACATGGGACATGGGACACGGGGACATGGGACACGGGGACATGGGACACGGGACATGGACATGGGGACACGGGGACACGGGGGGACATGGGACATGGACATGGGGACACGGGGACACGGGGACATGGGACATGGGACATGGACACGGGGACACGGGGACATAGGACATGGACATGGGGACATGGGGACATGGGGGACA